TCTATGACTGAAACTAATTCACTAAAGGATATAGAAACACAGTATATCGATGTAAATACCAGATATAGTATGTGTGCAAGAGGAGGGTCTGAGGAAGGACACTTAGAAGAAAAATAGGGAGGTAAAGTATTGTCACAAAGAAATGTGGTATTATCTGTTGAAGATATTTTGTAGTTTTATTAACAGGGAGAAAATGTTCACCTGTTGAAATATCCATATTATAGGAGGCCATTGTTTTAGACTAAGCTTTTGCTCTAGGCTCTACCACACCAGAACAAAATGGAGTCATTCATGCTAAAATGTTCCATCATCAACCTCACACTTTGATTATAGGAGGCCATTGTTTTAGACTAAGCTTTTGCTCTAGGCTCTACCACACCAGAACAAAATGGAGTCATTCATGCTAAAATGTTCCATCATCAACCGCACACTTTGAGGAAGCTGTTAGTTTCCAAAAGAATGCAGTTTTCCCCAAAAACAGGAGATTTGGCCTGCCTGAGTAGGTGCTATTAGGAAATAAAACCTATGTACATTTTGTGGCTTTCTTAGGCATATATACCTAAAATAGCTCAAGAGGCTACCTAACCTAACTGAACTTTTAAAAAATGAACATCCTTTTTGCCCAGATACATTCCTAACCTTAACCTTAACCCTTCCAGACTCACTGTCTTCACATTTTGTTTAAGATTAAGCAAAGTGAAGAGCCAGCAGGTGGTGTGGTGGTGAAGGCACTGAATTCCTGCATGGCCAGGCATGGTTTGAGTCCCAGACCTTTCTTACGTTTTCTCTCTCTCTCTCTCTCTCTCTCTCTCTCGAATGCACATGCCCTATATAAAATTTTTAAACTGATAGTTATAATAAATAGAATTAAATAAATCATTCTTTAAGAAAAAAAAATATAAAGCAAAGTGACTCCAGGTGACCATGAAGTCATCCTGCTCTCTTATAGAATGTAGCTAATTACTGCTGTATAAGACGCCTTGCTACTTCCCCTGCATTTCATGACTTTTTTATTTTCATTTTTTAAAATACTTTTTAGGTTTTTATTATAGGGAGTGTGCACTCACTGGAGAGAGACAAAGAGATAAAGAAATCACCCCCCCAAACCTGAGGGGATGACCACCCCACAATCCCTTCTCCATTCTCCTTCTGGGATTATGGGCATGCACACAGAGACACCTGGAACAAGCTTTTCAACTAGTTCTAGAGGACCCCCAAAGGAGGTCCAAGACACTTCAGACAGAGCTCCATCACCATGTAGAATTGCTGGAGAGGTGCATAGTTTCAGTCTAGAGTCCTCCCCAGGTTCAGTGCTGATTCAATCAAGCCCTTGATACTCAGATTGGTCATATTCCTCAGGCTCATGCATTCATTAGCCATGCCATTATTAGGATGGCGCTTGCCACCACCACTGTGTTATATTCTTTTTTTTTTTTTTTTTTTTTTTTTGGAGAGGTTTTCGCTATAGGGCGTGTGTGCTCGCCAGAAAGATAGAGAGAGACAGAGAGATAGAAAGCGACAAATTACTCCCCAGGGAGGATGGCCACGCCGCAATCCCTTCTCCTCCATTCTCCTCTCAGGATCTTGGGTATGCATGCACACACATCTGGCGTGAGTTTAAGCCACCAGGTCCAGGACTAGAACCGTGGTCGACTACATGGGAGTCCAGCGACATTGCCATTATGCTAACTGCTGGTCCTGTGTGTTATATTCTGATCAGCGAGAAAGAAGAGGACATCCAGTCATAGCCAAATTATAGGAGTTTTTATTAAAAACCAGCGGCTGTTGAGACTACTCATCTCTCTCAAAAGATCCTGCAGCCCTAAGTGTAGGGAGAAGGGTGCTTATAAAAGCAAAAACCACATTTGGATTGATGAGGTGGGAGCAGTAACCATTGAGGAGAGAGGGGATGAGGGGAAGGAGTGCCCTTGCACAAACATTGGTACAAAAGCAAAATTAAGCACTATTACTTGGTACATTTTTAGAGTTAGGGACTTTCCAGTGCTTTGCCTAAACGCAATGGAATGTTAAGGTCTTCATAGTTCAGGACAAGGAGTCTGGCATTTGATGATTAAGTTGCTAAGAAACATCTTAAGGTAGGGGAGTTTCCAGTTACTTAGGAAAAAAGAAAAAAGAATGCTAACCACTGTTTAGGCAGAAGGAGGGAGGTAGTTTCCAATATAGAGAGGAATTCAAAATGTTGGTGCTCATGTTTCAACTGCTCTGGTAGCTCAACATTAGGGAGAGCAGCTGGGATCCTGGAGATGGCGGGCT